GTACATTTAAATTGAGCCTCGATTATGGTGTCTTTAAAAAGTTTCCATGCAGCTTGCAGGGATTTCACTTTTGGCGCTGCACCCTTTAATTTCTGTTTAACTAACCTCCTCATTTTGTAGTTCCCCTTTCTGAAATTAAATGCAACAGTGTTGGGCCATGTTGGGAAATAATTGAGATTTCGCCTTTCCGTGTAAGAAAAATGACCTTTTGTGATGGGAAAATCGAGAAATTGACTTGTTGGGCCGGGAAAATCTTCGAGATATTGACTTTTTGTGACAGAAAATGTTTGAGCTTTCACCTTTCAAGGTGAGAACATTTTTGAGATTTTGACTTTTTGGGACTGGAAACTTTTCAAGATTTCAGTTTTTCAGGATGGAAATGTTTTTGACATGGCGACTTTGCAGGATGGAGTATTTTGGGGATTTCAACTTTTCAGGATGGGAAATTTTGTCAAAATATTGACAATTTTCCCAGCACAGGAAATCCACTGCCTTCCCACCACTACTCCTGCACTGCGGGTATATAACAACCATGGATTCCCCCCTGCCCTGGTCCTCAACAGTTTAATATTGAGCCATGCCCCCCTCCCCAATGAACTATAGAAGCAAGCATGGTTAGCTTTCAGCTGTAGTAGGTTGTTATCCTCTCTCCAGCCCTAGAGGGGGAAATGCCACCTGCTGTCCATGCCCCTGCATGAAAGGGGCAGCTCCTCAAAATTAACCCATACTGCTCTCAGCGTCTCTGGCAGTCAGTTTATCCCCAGGAGTCACACCTTCCTGGATCAGGTCCCTTTCACAGGATCCCAGCCAGAATTCGGGTCCCTGGTGTGGGTGGCACCATTCCACGGCAAACAGGGCGTTTCTGAGGAACATGAGCACTGCCTCAGAAAGTTCACATGCCCAGGTGACTGTGACCGGCTAACTCCTGAGTATATTTACTTTTCACCAAGCAAACAGGTTCCGGCAGCTGGTGCTTAGGAGGAAAGTGTCCGTGACAATGAACTCACCACAGTTCGCTGCTCAGACACAGAGTCACCGAGATCGGGGCCCTGTCGTGCCAGGTGCTGCCCAGACACAGAGTCACTGAGGCAGCAGCAGGCCAGACACAGAGTCACCGAGATCGGGGCCCCGTTGGGCCGAGCACTGCCCAGACACAGAATGAGAGACAGTCCCTGCTCCCCAAAGTTCACAGTTTTAATGGGCAGCACCTAGGGTGAAAGGAAAACTCTCCTCCCACTGCTACAGTTGAAGAACAGGGGCTATGGGGACGTGGAGGAACTTGTCCAGGTCTGGTGGTCCTGGGAGCTGTGCCCTGATCTTCTACATCACAAACCAAGGAGCCAATTGTTCCTGTGGGGGAAACTGAGGCACACTGCCGCCTCAATCCTCAAAGGCACTTAGGTATCTAAATCACATTGGTTTCCATGCAGTCCAGGTGCCTAATTCCCTTTGGGGATCTGCAGCCAGGTAAGTTGCTCATGGTCACACAAAGACTTGCTAAAAGAGTCGAATCAACTCTCTTAAAACCCACCCACATAGGGGGAGCACTGCCGGGACTGATGGGATATATGTACACCCCCCCCCCCCCGCCCGCACCTGAAGAACCTGACAGAGAATCCAGCTGGATCCATGCAGGAGGGAAGGGAGGTGATGAAGTGGGGACTTCCTGTAATATTTTGTATGAATAGCCTGTCTGCCTCAGTTTCCCCTGTATGCGGCATTAACTAGGTGGTGGGAAAAGGTTGGTTACTCTCTGCCGAGACCCTGAGACCCAGGTGTGCTGGACTCCTGGACGGCTGGGGCCTGGGACCCATTGCCATGGAGGGTCCGTGAAGACAAAGGTCAGGCCGACTGCCCGGACATTTGGAACCTAGCAACTAAGGACCAAGGCTGGCCCATCCCGGTGCAGGAAGCTGGCCGGGTTTGCCCAGGAAGACCAAAGGACTGAGGAGGGGCCAGGTGGGGGCTGTTGCATGTGGGGTGGCTGGAAGATGAACTGGGACAAAAGGGAGTGAAGACGGACCGGGCTGTAACTTTCTGGCCTCTGCGTTAACCAAGGACGTTCTACGCTGTGCTCCAGCCAGCTGAGAAACCCGACTGTCTTTGCCCTTCTGGCGGAGGGTCACTGCAGCGGCTGGATTTGGGGGTGCACACGGCTCCCTGTGGGGGTACACCTGTCCCTCCGGTGCCCATCTCAGGGGGACCCGCTGACGGGACTCAGCGGGTGAAGCAGGGAGGCTGGTGGCTCCAAAGTTCAGTCCAAGGAGGCGGAGAAGCCACATGGCTTCCCCTAGGGATGCAGTCAGCAAGGGGCCTCCCTGAGCTCTGGATCTGTGGCTCCATGACCTGGGACTGTTGGCATTCGAGCCAGGGCGTTTTGCCCTTTTCCTGGTAGGTTTTTTTTTGGCGTTAACGTGCAGGAACTTTCCCACCGCGGGTGGCCAAATCTCACTGCCAAAACGCCCTCTCTTACCCTGCAAAGGGCCTTGTTGGGTTTGCTTCAACCGCGTCTCCTTCTCCGCGGGGTTATTTGCTCATATCCACGGCCGGATTAACCTTTTGTGGGCCCGGTTCCAAACATATTTGTGGGCCCCCATGGAGGCAATGGAGCATGGTATGGGGGAGGGACGGTCCCCAGAGTGAGGGGCCAGCCAGGGGCAATGGGGAACGGCATGGCAGGGGCGGCCCCGCTCCGCCCAGCCCAGTGTGACGGCACTATTTACAAACCGGCAGTTGCCAGATGCACACTCAATCAATCCCCTGTGCTTCCCCTCGGGGGCAGGCCCATGCCCTGCCACACAGCCCCCCCACCCAACACAACCCCCACCCTCGACTTCCTATGGCCAGAGGCCCCTGGACCCGCTACGCCCAGCGCCCCCCACCAGACCCTGCCACAAATGCACAGCACCCTGCACAACATCGCCCCTGCCCACCGTCCCACTACAACTGCCCAGCACCCCCCACAGAACCCCCACTCCCATGTGCCCCAACACACCATCTACCCCGCCCCCTCACAGCCCAGCAACCCCCAGACCCCTTCCCCCACGCCCTGGCTCCCGGCCGCAGTCACCGGCCCTGCTGGGAGGCGACTGTCTGCTGGGCTGAGCCGGCAGCGCAGCCAGGGCTGGTCCCGGGGCCAGGAATCGCTCCGGCCCCTTGGGAGTGGCGCGATCAGCCAGGCCAGGGCCTGCTCCGGCCAGGCTCCCTCAGGACCCACTTGCCTGGAGGGGTCCAGCCAAGGCCCCCACACTGCGCCCCCATCAACTGGCTGAGACTGGCGGGGCTCCTGCCCCAGTCCCGGGTGGCTCAGTGTCGGGGGGACAGGGGGACCCCCCAGGTGGTGGGAAACAGAGACTGCCCGGAGCCGGGGGTGCACTGGGGTCCAGCCGGGGGGCAGAGGGGATCTGGTGCCTGGGGCCAGGGGGCTGGCGGGGTCTCGGGGCGCAGAGCAAGCGGAGCAGGCCGGGGCCCCTTCTGAGCCTGGGCCTGGCTCCAGGGCACTGGCGCCATTGTGAACCCGGGACCGCTCATAGCCGGGGGGGGGGTCACAAATCCACTGGCCCCCCACACCAGGCGCCTGTCAGGGTTTTGCCCAAGGAAAGGTCTTCCTCAATTTGATTTCAAGAGCTAGTGTTGGAGAGCTGCTGTTCTCCAGATGTGAGCAGTGAATCCATCCACCCGTCCATCTGTCTGCCCGTCCATCCATCCATCCACCCCATCTCGGGCCTGAAATCTCGGAGTTCTGGGTGAGCTGCCAATCAATCAATCAATCAGTCTGGTCCCCCCGTCAATCCCCTGCCTGGGACTGTGATGTCACCAGCCCACTCCAGGCTCTGGGGAGAACCAAACCTTAGCCCTTGAACATCCAATTTCTTTTCCTCCCGACCCCACCCCAAGACACAGGGTGGTGTCCCCCAGCAGCTAAAGCCCAGCCCAGGACTCCTGGGTTCTGTCCCTCTAGTGGGTGCTCCCATGGTGCTGCCCTGTTTGTCCTGAGATTCCCCGAGTGCTTTGCAAAGGAGGTGGGCTGGTGATGCCCTTTTGACAGATGGGGAAACTGAGGCAGGGAGTGGGATTATGCCTCAGGGCACCCTCTGGGCATCCAGCAGAGCTGGGGCTAGGGTGGGTGTTGAGGTGGCTCTGGCATCTCCTTGAGCCGCACGGAGGGCGGACAATGGGCCCCTCACTGGCTGAGACACGGAGAGGGACCGAGCACTCTGGCGGGCACTGGGGCTTCTCATCTTTGAGCCATTTTTAGCTGCCATCCAGGGGGCAGCATGGCCTAGCGGCTAAAGTCTGGTGCTCAGGACTCCTGGGTTCTATTCGCTGCTGTGCCAGGCCCTTCTGCTATCTCTGCCTCAGTGTCCCTCTTTGCACTATGGGGTGAATGGCCCTGAGTTCCCACTGCTCTGCGGTCATTACAGATGGGGAGAGCCTGGTGGGGAGGGTGCTGTTCCAGCCCCCACAGCGGGGCTGGTTCAGGGTATGGGGGGTTGAGCAGGAGCTGGGGAAGGCCCTGCTCACTGGGGGTGTCAGGTGAGGACAGGCCCTGTCTGCTCCCCTACTGCCTTGGATCGGCATGCCAGGGGGAATGGGGGAAGGACAGGGGTCAGTATGGCAAGGGCTGGGGTCAGGAGGAGATGGGGGCTGGGGGATGAGGTGGGGGCATGTGGGGGCAGCAGGGATTCCAGGGGAATGGGGGACATGGCGGGCAATGGGGAAATGGGGGGTGGAGGAAGAGGGCTGGGCTGGGGGGGCTGGGACCCCTCCCAGGCGACAGAATCAAAGCAGAGGCCTGATCCACAGGGAAAAGCCAGATTGCTATTGCCCTGTATCCCCCCCTTTCCCTCCATGTTCCCTGTGCCACCCTCTGCCCAGCTCCCCCTCCCTGCCCAGCTCCCCCATGAGCCTCCACACGCAGACGGGCTGGCTCTGGCCTACCCCTGCCTGCTGTGTGGATGCTCCGCACAGCAGCCCTGGGCTAAAGGAGGGCTGGACTCGTGCGGAGGGTGGGGGCTGGGGTGGCCTTTGTCCCTCCTCCCTCCCCTGCAAGCACTTTCGCTTTTACTGCCAGCCGGTGAGTGGGGCCGGGGCAATGCTCCGGGATCGGGGGTGGCTCCCCTCAACCTGCATGCTCAGGCGCCTTCTCCTCCCTCCTGCCCCCCCCACTCTCTCCTGTCCCCCCTCCAGGGCTTAATTTGGGCCAGGGCTGAGCCCCGGCCCCTCTGGGCTTGTCACTTCCTAGCCCCGGCCCCTCTGGGCTTGGCCCGTCAGTTATGAAAGTAAAAATATTGCGGCAGCTCTTCACCATGAATGAAGTGCTGCCCCCGTCCCCTCCCCTCCTCTCCCCTGAGCCCCTTCTCTTCTCATCTGCCCTCCTGGTCCTCTCCCGTCTGCTTCCCCCTCTGACCTCCCCCCACCTCCGTCTTCCTCTCCTGCCACCTCTTCCTCCCCCCACCTCCTCTTCTTCTCCTGTTCCCTTCCCCCTCTTCCGTCCCTTCCCCCGAGACCCTCTTCCTCTCCAGCCCTCCCCTCCTGATCCCTATCTGACTCCCCTCTTCCTCCCTTCCCCCGAGACCTTCTTCCTCTCCACCCCTCCCCTCCTGATAACCCCCCATCTTCTCTGACTCCTGCTCCCCCATCCCTCCCTCTACTGCTCCCCCCCCCACAGCCACCCCTGGGCTCTTCGGGGGAGCAGGCAGGCAGGGGACAGAGAGCCGCAGCAGCTGGGCCTGGGAGCTCTCAGCTACCTTCTGACTTCCCCATGAGGGTGACACCAATTCTCAGCAGCCAAGTGGCTGGAGCCCGGGTGCTGACCCAAGGGGGCATCGGGGGCCTGGCGGTTCAAGCCAGGTTCAAGCAGTTCAAGCTCCCTGTGCCCAAAGCAGGGGGTGGTGATGAAATGGAGTCAAAGGACCGGCATGGGGCAGCTGCAGGGACGCACAACGAGGAGCCCAGATTTGGGGTCCAGTCCCAGTTCTGCCATGGGGTGTGTGTGGTGCGCGGTGTGGGTGGGGGCGGGATGTGGGATTGTGTCTGTGTCAGGTGCTTAATAACACCCTATAGCTCCTGGGTCTTCTTGTTAGCAGCTCTTGAAGTGCTCTGAAAAGGAAATCGGGATTGTTAACCCCATGACACAGATGGGGAAACTGAGGCATGGTGGGAGGAAGTGACTCGTCCAAAGTCCCCTATCAGCAGAGCCAGGCAGAGGACCCAGGTGTCCTGCATCCCAGTTCGGGTCTGTAGCCACTGTCTGAGCACCTCTGGGTGTCACGGAGTCCCTGGGCGATGCTCTGGAACTGCTCCCCATGAAGCCAGTCAGGACTCTGGGGTAGTCGCCTTTCTGTGAGCAGCCTGTCTTCAGGACACACAGCTCACACAGCTTCCACCTTCCTGGGTCTGACCTCGGAGCATTCAGCATCCTCTGCCCCTCCGTGCGCTTCCCCACAGCGAGTCCGCTCAGGCGGGGCTCCTAGGGAAGCCAGAGGGTCCTGCACCCCAACTTCGCAGTCAGACGTGACTCTCAGCCAGCCAGTAAAACAGAAGGTTTATTAGACGACAGGAACATGGTCTAAAACAGAGCTTGCAGGTGCAGAGAACGGGACCCCTCAGCTGGGTCCATTTTGGGGGGCAGTGAGCCAGACAACCACGTCTGCCCTTCACTCCATGTCCCAGCCAGCCCCCAACTGAAAACCCCCTCCAGCCCCTCCTCGTCTGGGCTTTGTTCCTTTCCCGGGCCAGGTGGTCACCTGATTCCTTTGTTCTCCAACCCTTCAGCTCTCACCTGGGAAGGGCCCAGGCCATCAGTTGCCAGGAAACAGGGTGTTGGCCATTCTCCGTGTCCAGACCCCTGCACACACATGCCCTCTAGGGCTCTGCAATGATCATACACCCTTACCCCACCCCCCTAGATACTTAAGACCTGCCTAGGGGAAACTGAGGCACCCCCACACTATTCAGAGGAAACATTAAGAACAGTCCCACTTCGTCACATCTCTCCCCCCTTCGAGATCGAACTGAGCGGGGTCACTTTAGCCGGTGACCTGGGGAAGTTCGAAGCCACCAACGTTCCCATGGATGCCCCAGCATCTCTCCCATTCCTTGGTAGGAGTTACACCAGGCCCTTCCAGTTTCACACCCTCCCTTAGGTCAGGGGTGGTCGATAGCACTCGCAGGCCGCATGTGGGAAGGTTTATGCAGCCCATGCCCTTTGGCCACCCCAAGAATGTCTCCCCATTGACCATCACCTTCTGCTCCCACTGGAGGTCCGAGGGGCCTGGCCCCAGAAAACTCCACACAGACATATAGGTTGGGGTCAGGAGTGGGAGCCTGTCCACATCCCCAACCATCTGGCTGACAGAGTCTATGGCCTTGGGACCCAGCAAGGGAGCTAGACACCGGGGCTTTTCCGCAGGGTCCCCCTGGTTCAAATCTCCCGCCTGCTCAAAGGCAGTGAGGTGGGCATCCACACACCCCCCTCCTTAACCAGGGGCAGCAATTTAGTCTCGAGGTTCCCTGCGGAACTGGCCCCCCGGGATCTATCCCCACTCACCTCGGGGAGGTCCCCTAGGCCTCTCCGCCCCACCACCGCCAGTTCATGCTGCTGCTGCTTCTGCAGCTCTTTCTCGGGCTCTCGCTGTCTCCCACGGTCCTCTTGCTCTCTCAGACTCAGCTCCAGTCCCGTCCGTCTCGATCCCCCGATGGGGAACCCGATCGTGAAGACCCCCGTCTGGTAGGGGACAGGAGTCTTGGCGATGCCTGGCTCCTGCTCCAGCTACTCCCAGATCCTGCTATAGCCCCAGTTGGGGTCAGGAATCTGTTCCTTAGAGCGGTCATCCTCGTCCAGCTGCACGGTTAACTCTGCTTTGGTGAACTTTCCAACGCTCAACCCTCTCTTTTTGCACAGGGTTACAATGTCCTTCTTAAGGAGACGGTGACAGGCCATCACTCCGCTCCTCCCAAGTTGTTGTGGACTCACAGGCCCGTGTGTTCTCAGCTCCCCACGGTTTCCAGGGAGAACCCCTAGTGTGCCAGCCCTTCTCGAGGTCACCACCTCTTTGCCAGGGTCGAGCTGCAGGCTCCTCCGCCCCTTGGATTGGACTGCTCACTGCAATCCCCAGGGGGACCCCATTACTGCACAGTCCTTCTCGCTGGTCACACACTCCCAGGGGTTAACCGCCCCCCGAAACCGCTCCTTTCTGAGCCTTCAGCAGGCCTGGTCCTCAGCAATCCCCCTTCGTGTTACTGCTCCCCAGTCACTTACTGCAGGAAGCGCCATCCACGGGGTGCAGTACATCCCACCGCTGCCACCAGTAGTCACGGAGTCCCTGGGCAATGCTCTGGAACTGCTCCCCATGAAGCCAGTCAGGACTCTGGGGTAGTCGCCTTTCTGTGAGCAGCCTGTCTTCAGGACACACAGCTCACACAGCTTCCACCTTCCTGGGTCTGACCTCGGAGCATTCAGCATCCTCTGCCCCTCCGTGCGCTTCCCCACAGCGAGTCCGCTCAGGCGGGGCTCCTAGGGAAGCCAGAGGGTCCTGCACCCCAACTTCGCAGTCAGACGTGACTCTCAGCCAGCCAGTAAAACAGAAGGTTTATTAGACGACAGGAACATGGTCTAAAACAGAGCTTGCAGGTGCAGAGAACGGGACCCCTCAGCTGGGTCCATTTTGGGGGGCAGTGAGCCAGACAACCACGTCTGCCCTTCACTCCATGTCCCAGCCAGCCCCCAACTGAAAACCCCCTCCAGCCCCTCCTCGTCTGGGCTTTGTTCCTTTCCCGGGCCAGGTGGTCACCTGATTCCTTTGTTCTCCAACCCTTCAGCTCTCACCTTGCAGGGGGGAAGGGCCCAGGCCATCAGTTGCCAGGAAACAGGGTGTTGGCCATTCTCCGTGTCCAGACTCCTGCACACACCTGCCCTCTAGGGCTCTGCAATGATCATACACCCTTACCCCACCCCCCTAGATACTTAAGACCTGCCTAGGGGAAACTGAGGCACCCCCACACTATTCAGAGGAAACATTAAGAACAGTCCCACTTCGTCACACTGGGGATTTATTGATCCTCGCAACACCTGTGAAGGTGGGATGGTCCCAGAGCCCTGGCTCCCTCCCGAGCTGGAATGGCTACGCGGCCATGTTCTCGCCCCGCAGCCCGAGCCTCGTGAGCCTGAGGCCACTGGCACAGCTCAGCTGCGGGGGTTTTATTACCGCCAAGGGACTGATTTGTAAAGGGATGGAGGTGCCTAAAATCTAGTGGGTTGGCTGTAGACACTGGGATGCCCAACTCCCATTGGTTTCCAGGGGGGTTAGGCACCGCGGGCCGTTTGGCCAAAACACAACCCGTTGTTCAAAATATTTTGATGGTGACAAAATCAGCATTTCCCAGCCAAATTTTCAGCCAGCCCTAGCTTGGTGTACAACCAGCAGCCACTTGGTAACTGACCCCCAGGCTGCAGTGGGTGGAGCTAGGCCGTGGGTGGATCTAGGCCGTGTCTAAGGGCCATCAGGACTCCTGGGTTCTATCCCTGGTTCTGGGAGGGGAGTGGGGGCTAGTGGCTAGATTGGGCTAGGAGTCTGGACTCCTGAGTTCTATCCTGACCTTGTGCAAGTCACTTCCCCCTTTATGTGCCTCAGTTTCCCAATCAATAAAATGGCACTATTAATACTGCCCTCCTTCGTAAAGGGCTTTGAGACAGGCAGATGGACAGCAGTAGTTATTTGTATTAACCTCTGCACAGGACTGCTTTCCTGCCGGGATCTGGGACGCCGGCCCAGGGTAGACATGGCACAGTGCGCATCCTGCAAGCTCGTCAAGTATTTGAACGATCTAGAATCAAGAGAGTTCCAGATGTTCAAGTTTCACCTGGAGAACTATCCCCTGGAAGACGGCTACAAGCGAATCCCTCGCTCCAAGATGGAGGTGGCTGAAGCCATGGACATAGCTTGGGCCATGGTCCAGGTTTACCAGGAGTCCAAGGCTCTGCAGATGGCAGTGAAGATATTGGATGGTATTAACCGGAAGGATCTGTCGCTAAGGATCCAAAAGGACATGCCGAAGAGTGAGTAGATGGAGGAGATCCCCCCTCATTTTCCCCTATGGTCTGACTCATTCCTTGCTGGAACTTTTTGATCCCCCTGTCGTGCCTCAGTTTCCCCCAGTCCAACAAGGGTGGCCTAGAGGCTAGCGCCCAGATCTGGCACTCAGCAGACCAGGGTTCCATTCCCAGCTCTGCTGCTGGGTGATCCCAGACAAATCACAGCCCGGCCCCCTCTCCGTGCCTCAGTTTCCCCATCTGAAAAATGGCTGGTAGAGATGCTGGCATTCCCTCTAAAGTGCTTTGTCTCTGTGGATGGAAAGCACTAAGGCACGGAGAGGCTGCAGCTACATCTCTGCTACTGAGCCTCATGTAGATGCCGCGGCCAATCTGTCTCACTGCTAGGGCTGGGGTATAAATACCTCCTACATCGGTGGAAGGGGTTTTCCCGTCCTCTCTCTGAGAGGCAATAGCAAGGGTGATGGAGGAATCTGTCGACCCAGCTGCAGTGACGCGGGGGATGAGGTCGACCCATCTCTGGCTCTCGGGGCGTGACATTTTCACCGTTCAAAAAACGCGGCGGGGTTGATCTCATTTTGCAGCTAGGCCAGATGCTTTTGGCTGTAAGCACTGGGGGTTTTGCTGGCCTGGCTCTGTTGATCACGGCAGCAGTTGTTTTCCCCCGGCAGCTACGCCAGGATGCGTTTGACGGGTAGGCCAGGTGCAAGCGGCTTGTCCCAGGTCGCCTGGGGCATCTGTGGCGAAGCAGCAGATCAAACCCAGAGTTTCCAAATGCCAGGCCAAATGCCTAAGCACCTGCCCCTTTCTCGCAGGAAGAATGTGGGTACATTGCAGAGGGGTCAGAGAAGATTAAAGGATTAGAAAACCTGCCTTACAGTGACAAACTCCAGGAACTCGATCTAGTTAGTTTAACCAAGAGAAGGTTCGGGGGGGCTTGATCCCAGTCTATAAGTATCTACCTGGGGGACAAATATTTCATAACGGGCTCTTCGGTCTATCAGAGGAAGGTCTAACGACCTCGTCCAATGGCTGGGCGTTGAAGCTAGACACATTCAGACAGTAAAGAAAGTGTAAATGTTTAATGGTGAGAGTAATTAATCACTGGGACAATTCAGCATGGCTCATGGTGGATTCTCCATCCCTGATCATTTTTATATCGAGATTGGCTGTTTTTTCTCTGCTCTAGGGATTATTTCGGGGCGGTTCTCTGGCCCCATGTCATACAGAGGTCAGGCTAGACCAGTGGTCCTTGACCAGGGGTACATGTACCCCTGGGGGTATGCAGAGGTCTTCCAGGGGGTACATCAGCTCATCTAGATATTTGCCTAGTTCTACAACAGGCTACACAAAAAGCACTAGGGAAGTCAGGACAAACCGAAATTTCATACAGACAATGACTTGTTTATACTTCTCTATAGACTCTACACTGAAATGTAAGTACAATATGTTTATTCCAATCCATTTATATTATATTATATGGTAAAAACGAGAAAGGCAGCAATTTGTCAGTACTAGTGTGGCTGTGACATTTTGGTATTTTTAGGCCTGATTTTTGTAAGCAAGTTGTTTTTTAAGTCAGGTGAAACTTGGAGGCATGCCGGACAAATCAGACTCCTGAGAGGGGTCCCGTCGTCTGGAATGGCTGAGAGCCACTGGGTTAGATGATCACAAAGATTCCTTCAGGCCCTGGAATCTACAGGCTAGAGGTGCTTTGCTGCTATGCCAATGCCCGTGGCAGTGCAGCCCAGCCAGGGGCACCCTCCTGCGTTGGGCCACGGCACGGCCGAGGCGCCTTGCCTCAGTTTCCCCTTTCTTCCACCCTTACAAAGGAACAGCATCCGATACAAAGCCCACCTCTGGGCATCATTTATTGCCAGGCACCGGTGCAGTAATTCCCCCAAAGCCTTGGAGCAAAATCAATCGCCGGTGCCGATGGTGAACATCAGATCCGTGTTTGCTCTCTTTGGAGATTTCATCTCCAGGTCACCCACTCGAGAGTCAATCACAGCACCTCACGTCTCTCCAGAGTCCACCCTCAAGGGCTCGCCAGCTTTGGTCCGTTCTCACCAACAATTCCAGCTCCCATCCAGGCTCTTCCCTCTAGGGCCCAGGTAACCGGTTTTACGCCCATTTGGGGGCCAATTGACCAGTCACAGGTGCACTGACCTCCTCTGTCTTAAAGGACCAGTGTCACCCCGTGACACCTTTCTAGCGTAGGCGCAGCCTCAGGATGTCCTCTCTGCCATTCACATTGGTTTCAAGGCGTACCCTAAGTTAAAGCTGTGCATGTGGATCGGCATCTGGGACCCAGTCTAGAGATTGGCTTGGAAGGGTGAGATTTTTATTGCGAAATGTCGGTAAATGTTGATTTCACCGTGCACACAGGGACCGATGAAAAAATATCCCTGATGATAATACGTCGATTTCACTGCGCACACAGGGACCAACGAAAAAATGTTCCCATCGACATTAATCGAATTTTAAAAAGAAAGTAAGAAAAATGCGGCTTGAGACCTTATTAGAGTTTGATTTAAGGGTATTTACTTTGTGCATTTTGACGTGGGATGTGGACAATTTGGCTATAAAACTTTAACTTTTGGAATCTCAGCATCTCCTGCCATTAGGTAATTACAGTAACGCCTCGCTTAACATTGCAGTTATGTTCCTGAAAAATGCTACTTTAAGCGAAACGATGTTAAGCGAATCCAATTTCCCCATAAGAATGAATGTAAATAGGGAGGGTTAGGTTCCAGGGAAATTTTTTTTGCCAGACAAAAGACACGCGCGCACACACACACACACACACACACACACATATAAGTTTTAAACAAATAATTTAATACTGTGCACAGCGATGATGATTGTGAAGCTTGGTTGAGGTGGTGAAGTCAGAGGGTGGGATATTTCCCAGGGAATGCCTTGCTGCTAAATGATGAACTCGCACTCGGCTGAGCCCTCAAGCATTAACACACTGTTGTTAATGTAGCCTCACACCCTACAAGGCAGCACGAATGGAGGGAGGAGACACAGCATGGCAGAGAGAGACAGAAACACACCCTGTGTGTGTGTGAGAGAGAGACACACGCTGCCCCTTTAAATACACTGACCTCACTCTAAATACACTGCCTTTGTAAGTAGACCAGCAAGCTGAGACAGCAGCTGCTGCCAGCAAGCTCCCTCCATCCTGAGCCCTGTCCTGTCCCTCCCGCTCTGTGGAGATGGGGTACAGGAGCAGGTGGAGGGGGATACCCTGACATCAGCACCCCTCTTCCCACCCTCCCCCCACTGCACAGCAAGCAGGAGACTACTGGGAGCAGCTCCAAGGTGGAGGGCAGGAGCAGCACATGGCAGTGGGGGAGGGACAGCTGAACTGCCGGCAATTGATAGAAGAGATCCCGCCTCGTTTCCTCCAGTGGTCTGACTCATTTCTTGCTGGAGCTTTCTGGTAAATGGGGGGGAGGGTCATCCCCTGGCATGCCTCAGTTTTCCCCCGTCTAACAAGGGTGGCCTAGTGGCTAGCGCCCAGAACTGGCGGCTGCTGCACAGGGAACTTAGGGAGCGGGGAGCTGATGGGGGGCTGCCGGCCCATGCTGGTTCCAAGCCCCCACCAGCTCGCTGCCGCGGGCTGCTCTTCCTGCAAGCAGTGGACAAAGCAGGCGGCTGCCAAACAATGTTATAAGGGAGCATGGCGCAACGTTAAACGAGCCTGGTCTCTAATTGATCAGCAACGTAACAACATTAACGGGGACAACTTTAAGTGAGGAGTTACTGTATTGTCTGACTCCCCTTTTCCCCCCCAAAAAGGATTTCCTGCAACTCTGAAAAATTTAAATCCATAAAAACAGAAAAAAGAGAGGCTTAAAACCCGTAATGTGGCAGAACTATGAAAATGTCGGTTGATCAAAATAGAATGAAATGCTTAAAACCCGAAATTTCCAGCACCTGTGAATATTTCAGTCGATAAAATAGAAAAAAAAGCTTCAAAATAAACATCGCTATTTATCCCTCAAAATTATAAACCCATAAAAATCGAATGCTGCCAATGCTAGCTGTAGGTGTAGTTCACTGTTCACGTATAAAACGAGAGAGGGAGAAGACAATACAACATTCAGGGTTTGATTCCTCCCTCTGTAGAGATTGCCTGTCCTCATTAGAGCACCCCCTAGTGGGAAGTGATGTATCTACAATGGGGCTGACCCCAGGAGTATGTAGCCTGACCTCCTGACAGCCTGCCTCCGTTTGTCCCTTTCGGAGGCAGTTTCGCCCATGGGTAATTATTTCTCTCGTGTGTCTCGTAGTTTTCTGTCAGATGCCAGAGCCGGCTGGCGCTAGCGAGGACGACGAGAATGACCAGCAGGAGAACTCGGAGCTGTACGATCAATTTTTCGGAAGCAAGAAGAAAGGTCAGTGACAGTCCGATGCCACCAGCCCAGGGCACGTTGAGATTTCGCAGCGGCCGTGGTGCTGCGTGCCGAGATCTCACCCTAACTCTCTGCTTCTGTCTCCCCAGTGGAGGTGAAGCTGGATCCCAACACGGCGTTCCGCACGCTGCTGATCTCCCAAGACCAGAAAAGTGTGCGGCTCGGGGACTGCGCTCAGAACCTTCCCTGCAGCTCAGAGCGTTTTTATTTTCAGCCCTGTGTGCTGGGCACCCCGGGCATCTCTGGGGGGCGGCTGGACTGGGCAGTGGAGGTGGGTGCCGGGAAAGGCTGGATCGTCGGCGCCGTCCGGGAGTCAGTGAAGAGGAACGTGTATCTCTACATAACGGCTGAGCAGGGGTTCTGGGGGCTGGAGCTGAACCATGGGAAGTACAAGGCGCTCAGCACCCCTAAGACGACGCTTTTCCTACGGGAGCCTCTGCGCAGGATCAAGGTGCATCTAGACTTCATCCTTGGAAAACTCTCCTTCTACAACAACGACGCCGGGGAGCACATCTTCACCTTCAACTACCCCTTCTCCGAGAAGATGTTCCCCTTCTTCTTGACCTGGGACACGGAGGTCCCCCTCCAGCTCTGTCCATGTGACTGAGAGCGCCTCCCCACCGCACTCTTTGCAAGAGCAGGGATGTTACACTCCGGCGTGCAGGCCAAAATCCCAGCCACGGGAATCACCCACTGCCACCTGCCTCCGAACTTCCACTTTCACTTTCACTTCCTGTCCGGATCGGGTGCAAACCCTCCTCGACTGTCTCGCGTGACTTTGTCGGATGATATTTTGTGTTGTTTCTTGACGTCTCCAGCTCTTGGAGCCATGGTTTTTTGGTAAGAATCTGCGCTTTCATTAAAAAAAAAAAAGGTAACTCGTTTTCTAGCACTTTGGGTTGCGGAGAAACCCTGTGAAACCTGACCCTAGAAAGGTCCAACCCCAGAAGGCAAATGTATAAAACAAACAAACAAACCCCCCCTCCCAAAGGTTTATTATTTGTCAAATCTTGTGATTTTTTTTTTCAAGCCAATCTCATGAATTTTGGGGCCTCCCATTCTGCTATTTGAGCAGGGGAGACTTAAAGAGCTCAGTCTGCTTGGAGAAGTTTGAGAGGTGACCTGATTTTGACATATAAGTAAGGCTACGTTTTAGTCACAGGTATTTTTAGTAAAAGTCATGGACAGGTTACCGGCAGTAAACAAAAATTCACGGCCCTTGAATTTTACTTTATATCCCTAACTAAAACTTCGGCATGGGGGTAATGAGGGGCGGAGGTCTGGGGGTGCTGCCGGTGGTGTGTGGGGGTGGCCCAGGACCCCCACTGGTGCTGGGGTGGGGGGGCAGCAACGGTTTGCGGCCAGGACCCCCACTGGTGTGGGGGCGGAGGGGGGAGTGGGGCTGGGTCACGGCGCATGACCGGGACCCCTGCTGGTGCTGGGGAGGGGGGCAACCCCCGCTGCTGCTGTGGTGGTGGGGGATTGGCGGGGCTCGCAGGCTCCTTACTGGGCTCCGCGTGTTCCCGCAGCTCTGGCCAGGGGGCTTCAATCGCTGTCCCTGCTACCCCCTGGTGGAGGGGTTGCGCTCTGCCGTGTGTGTGTGTCCCTGCTGCCCCCTGCTGGAGGGACTGGGCCCTGATCTGCATGTGTGTGTGTGTGTGTGTGTGTGTGTGTGTGTGTCCCTGCTGCCCCCTGCTGGAAGGGCTGCCCCCTGCTCTGTGTGTGTGCGCGTGTCCCTGCTGCCCCCTGCTGGAGGGGCTGGGCCCTGCTCTGTGTGTGTGTGTGTGTGTGTCCCTGCTGCCCCCTGCTGGAGGGGCTGGGCCCTGCTCTGTGTGTGTGTGTGTGTGTGTGTGTCCCTGCTGCCCCCTGCTGGAGGGGCTGGGCCCTGCTCTGTGTGTGTGTGTGTGTGTGTGTGTGTCCCTGCTGCCCCCTGCTGGAGGGGCTGGGCCCTGCTCTGTGTGTGTGTGTGTGTGTGCGTGTCCCTGCTGCCCCCTGCTGGAGGGGTGCACTCTGTGTGTGAATGTGTATGGATATGGGGGGGGGTGTGCGTGTGTGTGTGTGCGCACGCGCATGAGGTGCATGTATCAGGGCTGTCGCTTAATCGCAGTTAACTCACGTGATTAACTCAGAAAAGTTAATCGCAATTAAAAAAATCAATCGCGATTAATCGCAGTTTTAATTGCACTGTTAAACAATTGAATACCAACTGAAATGTATTAAATATTTTGGATATTTTTCTACATTTTCATATATATTGTATTCGATGTTGTAATTGAAATCAAAGTGCCTATTATTTTGATTATAAATATTTGCACTGTAAAAATGATAAAAGAAATAGTATTTTTCAATTCACCTCAGACGAGTACCATAATGCAATCTCTTTGTTGTGAAAGTGCAACTTACAAATGCAGATTTTTTTTGTGACATAACTGCACTCGAAAACAAAACAATGTAAAACTTCAGAGCTTACAAGTCCACTCAGTCCTACTTCTTGTTCAGCCAATCGCTCAGACAAACAAGTGTGTTTATGTTTACAGGAGATAATGCTGCCGGCTTCTTATTTACAATGTCACCCAAAAGTGAGAACAGGCATTCGCATGGCACTTTTGTAGCCAGCATTTCAAGGTATTTACGTGGCAGATATGCTAAAATTTGTATGCCCCTTCATGCTTCGCCCACCATTCCAGAGGACATGCTTCCATGCTGATGATGCTCATTAAAAAAACAATGCATTAATTAAATTTGTGACTGAACTCCTTGGGGGAGAATTGTATGTCCCCTGTTCCGTTTTACCCGCATTCTGCCATACATTTCATGTTATAGCAATCTTGGATGAAGACTCAGCACATGCTGTTTGTTTTAAGAACACTTTCACTGCAGATTTGACAAAACGCAAAGAAGGTACCAATGTGAGATTTCTAAAGGTAGCTACAGCACTCAACTCAAGGTTTAAGAAGCTGAAGTGCCTCCCAAAATCTGATCGGGATGGGTTGTGGAGCATGCTTTCAGAAATCTTAAAAGAGCAACACTCTGATGCGGAAACTACAGAACCCGAACCACCAAAAATGAAAATCAACCTTCTGCTGGTGGCATCTGACTCAGAAGATGAAAATGAACATGCGTTGGGCTGCTCTGCTTTGGATCGTTATCGAGCAGAACCCGTCATCAGCATGGACGCATGTCCCCTGGAATCATGGTTGAAGCATGAAGGGACATATGAATATTTAGCACATCTGCCATGTAAATATCTTGTGATGCCGGCTACAACAGTGCCATGAGAACACCTGTTCTCACTTGCAGATGACATTGTAAACCAGAAGCGGGCAGCATTATCTCCTGCAAATGTAAAGAAACTTGTTTGTCTGAGCAATTGGCTGAACAAGAAGTAGGACTGGGTGGACTTGCAGGCTCTAAAATTTTACATTGTTTTACTTTTGAATGTTTTTTTGGTACATAATTCTACATTTGTAAGTTCAACTTTAATGATAAAGAGATTGCACTACAGTACTTGTATTAGGTGAATTGAAAAATACTATTTCTTTTGTTTTATACAGTGCAAATACTTGCAATAAAAATAAATATAAAGCGAGCACTGTACACTTTGTATTCTGTGTTGTAATTGAACTCAATACATTTTGAAAATGTAGAAAACATCTGAAAATATTTAAATAAATGGTATTCTATTATTGTTTAACTGTGTGATGAATCACAATTAATTTTTTTAATCGCTTCACAGCCCTAATTACTATAATACTGCATTACCTACATTTTGAGATGAAAAGTTGTTCTGAACTGAAGAAACAGAATTTTTCATTTTGATTTTTTTTAATGCAAGATACAATTAAAGCCACAGGATACGTCTACACTGCAAAGACACCCCCCTCACACACACCTGTGCTGAGTCTCAGAGTGTGGATCAATTGACTTGGGCTTCTGGGTCTCGGGCTGTGGGGCTAAAAACAGCAGTCTAGACTTTCCCATTCCGGCTGCAGTCCAGACTTGAGTCCTTCCCCTTTTGCCGGGTTTCAGAGGCCGGGCTCCAGCCTGAGCGGGGACGTCTAGGCTGCTATTTTTAGCCCTGCAGCCTGAGACCCATGAGCCCTAGTCAATTAACCTGGGCTCTGAAAGTCGGCTTCAGGAGATTTCCTTTGCAGTGTAGAGTCATAGGGCTAGTCTACACTACGTGGGCTCTGCAGATACAGCTATCCCCGTATAGGGCTAGGGTTAGGGTTATCAGCAGAGTACCCTAGTGTAGATGCAGCATATGCTAACTGAAGGAGGTTTTTCTTTCAGTATAGGAATGCCACATCCTTGAACAACCTTGGCTAAGCTGACAGTGTTCAATATAGCTGTGTCTACATGGGGTGCTCAGCTATGTCGGCTGTGGAGTGTTTTTCTTTTTTCATACCTCTGATTGCTATGCCGGCAAAACTTTGCAGTGTACACCTGGCCATAGAATTTAAGGCCAGATGGGACCCCAAGATCATCTAATCTGACCTCCTGCATCTCACAGGCCACTAAGCACCACCTCAGCAACCAGAACAGACCAAAGTATTACAGCCCTCCGGAGAGCAAACTATTGTGTGCCACAGGCAGAGAATAGGAGGGTCTGAGATGCACCAACGCCTGAGGCTCCTGCAACAGCAGGGAATTGATACCCAGGTGATCCTAGCTGGTGGAACTCCTTGCCACTGGATATTACCAAGGAGCTAAGATCTTAGCAGGATAATGAGAACCGGTGACCATAGTAAAGTGGAATAATACCCAAACTTCTGGGAAGCAGCTAGAAACTCCCATGCTTCAGGGCGTAAACAGTCTATTAAGGGCTGTTTCAAGAGGACTTGTGATCAGTTGTTCTCCATGTCCACTGTAGGTAGGACAAGCAATAATGGACATGAGCTGCGGCAAGGGAGATTTAGGTTCGATAGTAGGAAAAACTTTCTAGCTATAGGGGTAGTTAAGCTCTGGAATAGGCTTCCAGGAGAGCTTGTGGCGTTCCCATCATTGGTGTTTCTGAAGAGCAGGTTGGACAAACACCTGTCAGGATGGGTCTAGGTTGACTTGGTCCTGCCTCAGCACCGGGGGCTGGACTTGATGACTTCTCGAGGGCCCATCCAGCCCTACATCGCTCTGACTCTATGATCTTAATCTCAGGAAGAAATTTCCACTATGGGTAGTTGAGTTCATAGCAGCTCACTGCAAGCTCTCCCGGGAGCCACTGCTGCTGGGCTGTGCCCGAGGCGAGAGGACCTGGGGGCTGATCCAGGTGATGTGTCTCAGAAGTGGAGTGGATGGCAGAGGGGAGATGGGGCGAGGGCACGGGGGAGCGTCAGGTCATACAGATCCATTGTCTGCAGACATTCCAGGACTTGGGATGCTTTTATCTTCGTCAACCCTTCAGTCAGCCAATAAACAACGCAATGGGAAATGCTGCAAGTTGCTTCACTCTTCTTAGTTGGCAGCACAGTGACCAGGTGGGTCACAAGTAGGGACTTGATACGATTGCCAAAGGACAGAGGGATTGCCAGACAGGATCAGAACCTCATGTCCAGTGGCAGGCACCAGTTGCTTCCCAGGTTGTACAAGCCGCCCTGCCATAGCAGCTATCTTGACTATCTCTTGTGTGAAAAAGCTCTGTCCCTGCCTCCATGGGTCCCGCGTTTCCTGGCAGATTTCGCTAGCCTCAGAGGCTAGATGTGACCCTCCACATAACCCTTCTCTTTCTAGAGACAAGGGTCACAGTCTACTGAGCCATTTTCATCATGAGGTGAGGAGAAGCTGTCCTCCCTTGCACAGTCTCTGTTGTCTCCCAGTCTCAGTGATTAATCGGGGGCAAAGGGGTGGGAGCCCAGGCCCTCCCTCTACTCCTGGTTCCAGTCCAGGGACCCTAATAGTATCAGCTATGGAGGCTGACCTTTTAGAAACATGACATGTACAATTCCCTGGGCTACTTCCCCCACAGCAGCCCTCACTTCCTCAAACTCTACTTCACCCTTACTTCAGGGCCCCCTTCCTTGTGCCTGATATGGTGTGTACTGCTCAGTCTCTCCAACAACACAACTTCCTGCCACAGCTCCTGACATGCACACCCACCTGACTGACTGGGAGGCTTTTCACTAGTTTCAGCCAGCCCCTGATTGGCTTCAGGTGTCCCAATCAACCTAGCACTCTCCCTGCCTTCTGGAAAGTTCTTAATTGGCCCCAGGTGTCTTAATTGACCTGGAGCAGCTGCCATTTAACTTATCCTGGT